GTGGTTGATATTTGTGTTATCTAATTTTCATTTAAAATAGACAATTTCAAACTTTTTCACTTGTACACTGTATCTCAAAACTACTCAACAAATTTCATTTAAACTTGGATACAGGTCCTTTGAGATAATCCACTTGCCTGATTAATGTTTTGGTTCAGATCTGTGCATATTGATTATCTAATTTACATAAATTACAGATTTCAATGAAACTTGGTACAGATATGTAGGTATTCTGGGGTAATCCACTGATGTTATAAGTTTATGATTGAAATCTAATCAATATTAATGACCTAATTAGCATAAAGTTTCTCGTATCTCAATAACCAATTATTGAATTTAAATGAAACTTGTTACATAGGATTTCTTGGAGAAGTACGAGAATGATGATATCAGATGTATTCAAATTTGTTTCTTTTGCTTTAAATTGAATTTTCTTCTAGTATTAAAAACTTGAATACTGTGGATCTGATTCTTTTCACTGTGCTTCATAATACTCTGATTTAAATATTTAAATATTTCCTATTTCTGCTTCATGCATTTATGCCTCTAGTACCCTCAGCACAAAGTTTTTTAGGCAGTCAGAGGGGAGCTGCTTATATATGTGATTGTCCGTCATGGTCCATCAACAATTTTATTACCAACTTCTTCTTGAAAACTACTAGCTGCATTGCCTTGATACTTGGTATGTAGTGTAGATAGCAATGGTAACTGCAATAATGACAACCAAATATACCCGGTACAGGCCCGGTACTACTATTTGCCGTAACCATGGCAAATAATTAATATCTCATCGTACAGAACATTTCAACTGTGTTTTCAGGAAGACACTCTACAAAGACATTGGAGCTATTTCAACCGTTTGGTGGCTTGTCTTAGCTGTCTTTAGTTCTATTTTATTAATATAATTTAGAATCAAATTCATATTAGTAATATATTCTGTTGTGAAATATCATAAATTCAAGGCTAAGTTTGAAGTGGGTGGATCATGAATGCACATGTTTTGATATTGACACAAATGTATATTTGATTTATGTTCATAAATAACTTGTTGTAACACTAAATACTTGAGTAGGGAATTGTTGCATTATAAATGGGGTAGGTAAAATGATGTTATTATAGACTGAAGAGTAACCTGTGTTTAAGTGTGTGTTGTTTACCAGTAATGTTCATGTATTCAGTATTTTTTCATTTCATGGTTCAGTATTTCTATTACAACATGTAAATGTATAAACCACTTTATAATGTATACATTTATTATACTAAGATTCTATGTATTTAAATCCTGTCTAAACTAAATACTAATTTAAAAGGAAATGAGAACATATTCGTTTTCTCAAGGTATTTGGTTTATAAACTATTTTAAAGGGGTATTGTATGTACAAGTCTATTTGAGGGGAATTTAATTTCCACAGAGTGTAGTTTAAATAGATTACAAGGTGACAGTAAACAGCTGTGATTTGATGTCAGCTGATGGAAACAGACAAGTTAACTATGTTATTTGGTTTTCAATCATTTTATCTGTTTTCAGAGACTTTTTTGCGTAGTAATATATGTGAACTTGATCACCATGAATGGTTACCGTCTTTGTTAATATACTACCCATTGTTTTATGTATAGTCAAATTTTTACTTTCTGTTTTTGTTAAAAATGGCAGCTTAGGTATTCAAACAGTATTCAGCATAACTACAGTTTTATAATGTTTTTGTAAATGCCATTCATCTATTGTATTACAAATAAAGATATAATTATAAGATAAAAATATGTGATGAACGTCATTCCATTCCATATTGTAAACCCCTAGTGTTCCATGTGTATGTCAATCAATCTCGTTGTGATCAATGATATCACTGAATGCTATGAACACATACAGAAATAGAGATACGTAGAAATAAGTTATACACACTATGCAAATATGTATTGACTCTAGAACCTGAAACTGTCTGCAAAATGTACAATGTATGGCTAAAATATGTTGATGTGCATATAAAGGCAAAATTTAGTAGACTGTCAACACAGTTACTCCATTGGGGCTACCTTTATTTTTTACTAGTACTTAAATATTGCATTTATTGTATTGGGGTGTATTGGATGAAATATTTTAATTATAAATACATCCACAGTATCATTTATGTACATGTAAGAGCATTACAACAAAATACAGTACAAGTGGAACATATACAGTACGTGTAAATTGTTGTTGTTGCACTTTTTAGCTCTGCTGTTGTTGAGCAGAGTTTATTATATGAGTGATTGTCCGTCAGTTACTGTCTTTTGTGTCAACTTTTAATTTTTTTGACTTCTTGAAAACTACAAGCCTGAATGCTTTGATACTTGGTACCTTGGGTAGACCTCTCTTAGATTTGTTCATTTCGTGATGATATCTTTAATTCTTTTGGTGAATATTTTTGGTAAAAAGTGATATTTTCGACTTCTTGTTAAAAACAGCAAGTCTGATTGCTTTAATATTATATATATAGGTACCTCAGGTAGATTTGTTCATTTTGTGATGATATCTTTAATTCTCTAATTTTGGTAAATATTTTTGTTATATTTGGTAAAAAGTGATATTTTCGACTTTTTGTTGAAAACGGCAAGGCTCATTGCTTTGATATTACATACTAGTACATGTATATATAGGTACTACATGTGGACCTCTCTCAGATTTGTTTATTTCGTAATGATATATTCAATTTTTTAATTGAAATATGCATTGCTAACAGCGGACAGCCGACAGGCTGCTTGTTTTAGATTTTGGTTTTCGTAAAAGAAACCTATGATGTTAAACATAGATTTCATGTAGAGCATTTATTAGAAATCCATTTTAACGATTACATTCGGTTTATGTTGCTTGTACCTCGAAGTTGGGGTAACTGTTGATTAAAATTTGAGTCACTAAATGTTCATTACAAAATAAAAATGTATATTGTCGTAACTCATAAGTTCTGTTATTTTTAATTGAACATAATGTTACAATTTGGGCGTGGTTTCTCAAAATTGGGCGTGGTTTCTCAAAAGTGGGCGTGGTTTCTCAAAAGTAGGCGTGGTTTCTCAAAAGTGGGCGTGATCATTTTTGTAACTTGATGTTTGTAACTCAATGTTCATAACTCTTACAATTAGTTACATACATTTACATTTGTTTTTTAATATCTACACAAGATAATGGTGAGATTATTTAAAATGTTACTGTAGCTGAAGGTGAACATAAATAAAGATTACATGTCATAGATGATATATTGCGGTTTAAGTTTAAGTCTACAAAGTCATAATTGTTCTCATGATTGCTCTAAAACACCATTAATAGTAATACCATGTGGTTCAAAGTTAATCTAAGATTATACTCAGTGATTCCTGAAATGTATTATTATACTACATCTACAATGAAATCTAATCTCCAGTAACAACCCCTAAAAAGCTTTTTTCTATTAAGATCATTTGTTTCACGGTTTTCATTTTATAATGAATTTTTGCCACTATAGAAAATTTGTAATTTTCATCGTTAGGCATATATTGTAAACAGTGGAAGCTGGATGTCAGTGCATCAAAGTCAAATCTGGGAAAAAAACTAATTTAAAATACATGAACAAGAATTGGAAAATGTCTCACCATATACTGTACCTATTTAGGACTAAAAGTAAAATCTTCATGTAAACTCAGCAAAGGACAGGAAAATCTTGGACACAGAGCAACAAAAGCACTATTCAAAATGAAACGGCTATTATACTCCAAAAATAACATCCCAATAAAAACACACCTGAAACTATTTGACAGCATAATCAAACCAGTCCTACTCTATTGCAGTGAAGTATGGGCTAGTGATTGCATACTACAATCCAAAGATCTTCATAATAATATGCTTCCTATGGAGAAGCTACACACCAAATTCTGTAAATATGTGTTACAAGTTAACTGTAAAACTAGTAATTTAGCATGTCTATTAGACCTACATTGTGTATACTGAAAATAAAACAATTATAAAACTAGCTAAATACATATATGAATGTTTCAAAATTAGAGAAAATAATATGAGAAAGTCTCCAATGCCATCTCAATAAACCACAATATTAAAATCAAGGCATATTTGCAAGGTTTTTGCAGTTTCTATCAAAAATTATATTTACGGGTAGTGTATAATATATTGATCTCTTGTATTGTTACTTTTTATTTATTTATTTATTTATTTATTTTTATTTTTATTTATTTATTTTTATTTATTTATTTTTATTTATTTATTTATATTTATTTTTATTTATTTATTTTTATCCCCACTTTATTGTAATGTAACTCAAGATCCTATAAAGGATGCAATATCAATAATTTATTATTACATGTACTATACTATAAAATCAGTAAATTTTGAACTCGAGAAAATTTTTACTTTTTGATGTTATCACACAAAATTGCAGGATGTTCACATGGATGTACAATAAGTGATGTAATGTTCAAGTGAAATTCAGATCCTGTTTCACTTATAAATTACTTTATTATTAGGTCTTCCTGTGTATGTGTGCGTGTGTGTGTAGCTATGTTTTCTAAACAAAATTCCTACTCTTTACTGTTAAAATGTGCATATTAATTAGGAAATTTGCATATCTTCAGATTGATATGCTTGTGTCCCTGTTACAATTACATGTAGTTCACTTTGAATAACGTTCAGCAGTAATTTGTAGAGACGAAATCATCAGAAATCATTTTACAAAGATAACTCTTAATGGGTTTACTGAGTATACCGGGGTAATTCACGTTCACTTAAAATGCCTGGAATAGAAAGTAAGAACTCCTGATGTCTTCAGCATTACACCATACTGTAGCTTGTTTTCCTCTGCTGAGTCCATTTTATATTGATTACAATTCGTGATGTACATGTATTTAACTACTCACTGACTGAATTACCAATCATTTACCCCAAACGCTTTACTTGGCATTTCTACCTGTGTGCATGTCATATCTAGGATTATGAGATATTAATATTTTATGGTAATATCTTATGATTTTCTCTGCAGCTATCGGTGCACTAAGAAGCCGATTATTATTGCTTATAGTATTACAATCTAGTCTGATAATAAACTAATATGGCAAGCAGTCCACTAGAGAACCGTAACAGTCTAGCAAGTTTTGAGAAGTGTGTGGTGAGTACATTTAAATATTATCCATATGTGTGTTAGTAGTGATGAATGGTCTGAATTAAATAATAATAATAATTTTTAGCTCCGCTGTCGACTTTGTCGAGCGGAGCTTATCGTATGAGTGATTGTTTGTCGTCGTCCTGCGTCCGTCGTCCGTGTCAATGTTTTACTTATTCGACTTCTTCATAAAACTACAAGCCTGAATGCTTTGATACTTGGTGTATATGTACCTTGGTAGACCTCTCTCAGATTTGTTCATTTCATGATCATATCTTCAATTCTCTAATTTTGGTGAATATTTTTGTCATTTTTGATAAAAAGTGATATTTTCGACTTCTTGTTAAAAACCGCAAGTTCAATTGCTTTGATATTACATATGTTGGTACTACATGTAGACCTCTCTCAGATTTTTTCATTTTGTAATGATATCTTTAATTCTCTAATTTTGGTGAATATTTTTGTCATTTTTTGTAAAA